TCTCGAATGGTGGTTTGTGCATCTCAAAGCTGGAGCAATCTGGATTTCTCATTCAGCTCCTTCCAGCCAACAAACTGTGGCCTATCTCAGAAGCCAAAAGGAAACATGCTGCTTTGAGCAGGTTTAGAGTAGAACCAGTGTAGACAACGCTCCTGACCGAGCAACCCAGCTTCAGTCCAGAAACCACCAACACTAGGTAGGAAGATGCCCCCAAATGAACCCAGCCTGCTCCACGATGACTTCTTCAACCAAGAAATGGGGCCTAGAGATATCCAAGCTGCTCTACGAATCTGTTGACACTACCCACCCCTCTGCATGAAGATTTGTCTTCAGTGCTCTTGGGAAAGAGCTTGTCTTTGAGACAGAGGAAAGTCACTCCCTGCCCTTCAAAGAGAGCAAACGCTCTGATCTTACAAAAGCTGTCTGCAGGGTTACTTCCATCAGAAGTGAAGTTTTGCAGGATCCAGGTCTAAGTCTTGGAGGCAGCTCCTTGTATCAGAAAACCAAGGCAAGGTCACCAAAAAAGAACAGGAAGCTGTCTAGAAATAGCAAGGGAGCACATTACAATGCATTCAAGTAGACAGAAGGCACAAAATGTTCAGTCTGGGGTTTTTTTTACCACCGACTGTACCCAGCTGCAGTCTTCCAAGATGAATAATCTTATCATGTCAGAAGGCAGACAGAGGCGGGCACCTGGTATCTCTGGGCTTTTGAAGTTGCTCTTGAACAATGCAGGCTGTGAGGAACGGCTGCTCTGCAGACAAGCAGCACAAACTGGAGCAGAGGGATTCTCTCCGCATGGGCTGCTGCAGGCAGGAAGGATGGAGCAGACACAGTCAGTTGGGGTATTTGGGGGGTCAAATGGAAGTTTGCCTTTCCAGAGATCAATGTGAAGAGGAAGAGGAGGATACGGGGGAAACGGGTACCTTCAGCAGCCCTGATGTGGGGCACGGGGAAGGTGCCACCCAGCACAGGGGAGAAGCAGATGACATCAACCACATCCACAGATGGGAATTTAAGTTAGGAAGCAGGAATTGACACAAAGAGGCCATCAGAAGAGGCTCTAGGCACTGGCATGGCTACAACTGAGAGATGATGAGATCTGTGCCCAAGGAGCAATCCTGCAAGCAAACCTGCCACCCCAAGGGCAGGTACCTCCAAATAAAAGCAACAGCAGGATCAGTGTGATACCTGTTAAGTCTAGATCTCTTTACAGCATTCCAAGATCCGTCTGGAAGATTCCCTGACAGACTTTTGCTCTCCAGAATAAAAATAAGGAATGGCCGGAGAGTTTCAACCTGTATCTCTAAGATATCTCTATCTGACACCTCAGATGTGTTACCACCTCTCCGTCAGGGCTTGGAAGCTACATTGATTAAAACTATGCCATTTGAAACCAGCCCAAACCTAACAAAGCCATTTCCTCAGCTTTATCTCAACATTGCTATGTATATAAAGCTGATGTCTGAAAACATTCCATGTATTTTTATTAACTGGCATGAAGCCATTAGGCAGCACAGCAAAACACACACAGACTGCTCCACAAATCACTGCATTCGTAAAAAGAGAACAATTTGGGAATCACTCCTCAGCAAACATCAGCACAAAGCTCCTTTGGCTGTTGTGATGTGCAAACCCAGGCCTCCTCAGCCCACCCTGTCTACGTTGCACGTACAGCCTCATCCTCCCTCTGCTCCTGATGCACACAAACATGATGAGGGGAAAAGCAGGAATAGCATTGCAGAATTAACATCTTCTAACCTCCAGGTTAGGATTTGAGGTCCACGAGGAGCTGTGAGGCTCAGCTGCTTGCCTGTGTTGCTAACCCATCACCATCAGGACTCCTTCTCATGTCTGCTGTCATGTGCTAACACCAACATGCGTCAGCATCCTGAATAAGTTCCTGGCTTTAGCTATAAAACAGCCAGAGCTGGGAAGAGCCCTGCTCCGAGCTCCGGCAGAGCAGGGATTAACCACATTACCCACCACGTCCTTCACTCCCACTGCTCACTGAGCTCACACTGCCCGAGGTGCCTCTCGCCCTGCCAAAGCTCCTGCCCCTCTTCAACCACCTCGCTCCGGCTCTTGACGAAAGGCAAATGGAAAAGCTTTTGGTAACTTCCAGCTGATCTTGGCTGGGAAGGAGTGACTCACAAAGGAAAAAATTCCCTGCCGATTCCTTCACAATCAAAGGTCAAGCAAAGCTCACACTGGGACCTGCGGAGAGGCTTTCCACCGTTGCAATGGGCCAGGCACCAGGCTCCTTATTCCATCCTTGGTTTTGTTTAGGAAGGCAGATTTGAAGGCTATAAATATTGTTACACATCTGGCGAGGCATTCCAGAGTGGAAAATCCATCTCACTGAAGGTAAGTGGCTACAGGAGAGAGGAGCTGCCACCTCTGCCTCCAGCCAGCCCGCAGCAGCCTCCGGTGCTCAGCAGCTCCTGCTTCCTTTCCACGCTGCTCTCACATGTCAAACCTCAACAACCTGCAAAGCTGCACCATAGCTGTGAAAGGCACTTTTCCCTATTTCTGTAGGGAGTTTTCACAAGGCTCCATTTCTTTTCCCTAAACAAGTCACTGTCTTCCTGTTACCTCCTTGACTGCAACGATTCCACTCCCGCTGTGTCCCAAGCAGTAACTGTGTCCATTGTACTTCCCTTCCACAAGTATTGTTTCACTCGGAGCTTGGCTCTCCAAACTCCAGGATCTTCTGGGACTTTCTACCTACATTTGGAGCCCACTTCTTCAAAATCCAATGTCTACAAAGAAAGGACCACTCGGGGAGGAAAGGACAGGGAAGGGATTGCACACGCAGGCAAGAAGGGCTGTGAGGATCCCATCGCCTCCTCTTGCACAGGGTCAGATGATTCAAACTGGGCTGTTGGAACGAAACCAAGTTCTGGAAAATGCCCAAACATCAGATTTCAATAGGAAAAAGTTATCTACTTGAATAGAAAAACAAGGAAGACGTGCCAGCATTTTTCAAGCCAAATTTCACTTACTTAAGAAGACCTTAAGGTGTTCCTTACACTAGTGCTTCGTTTACGGGTGGGAGGGGGAGATGCTTCCCCCTCTCTTAGTTCACATCGAGTCAGACCAGGTTCTCTGCTCCCACTGACACCAGAGTAATAAAAGAAAGAAAACAAATAAACCCTGATTCCTCCTGTACTCGCTGAGGGTTTAACATGTCAATGGTGTAACTTCTTTAAAACGTTCATAGTGCTGCTGGCTTTAACTCAGCAATATTGGCTATACTGATGTCTGTCCAAAATACAGAGGAGCTGCTTAAGAATCATAGAACCACCAAAAGGTTTGTGTTGGAAGGGACCTTAAAGCTCCTCCAGCTCCAACCCCTGCCCCAGGCAGGGACACCTTCCACTAGAGCAGGTTGCTCCAAGCCCCTGTGTCCAACCTGGCCTTGAACACTGCCAGGGATGGGGCAGCCACAGCTTCTCTGGGCACCCTGTGCCAGTGCCTCAGCACCCTCACAGGGAAGAGCTTCTGCCCAAGAGCTCATCTCCATCTCCCCTCTGGCAAGTTAAAGCCATTCCCCTTGTCCTGTTCCTCCATCCCTTGTCCAAAGCCCCTCTCCAGGTTTCCTGGAGCCCCTTTAGGCACTGGAGCTGCTCTGAGGTGTCCCCTTCAGGAGCCTTCTCTTCTCCAGCTGCCCCAGCCCAGCTCTCCCAGCCTGGCTCCAGAGCAGAGCTGCTCCAGTCCCCTGATCATGCATCTCCCCACACCTCTGTGTCCTGAAGACAACTCACAGGACCCACTAAGGACAGAGACACCCAATCAGTCCTCAAACGGCGCCTGCTCTTACCAACTCAGGCTCGTCTCTGTGTTTCAAAAGTCTGTAAATAATACCCCATTAACTTTTAATCCTATCTTCCCCACTCTGACATGTATTTTGTATTAAAATGAAAGTTATATAAGGTTGAATTGAGGTTGCTTTTTAATATTACATTAACGCTATTTACCATGCGCAGCGCTAATCCCCCTTTGAAAGGAGAGCATATTAGCAATGCTGAAAGCTTCTGTTACCATAGCAATAGTCTATCACTGTGAAATATTTATATGTCTAACGTTTTCACTATGCAACAGCCATCTTCTAAACTGTACTTCCTATTTCTCGTTACGTGTCTTCTCTGTCCCATGCACCAGAGCAGCACGAACACCCGCTGCAGCCGTGCCTCCTGCCACCGCAGAGACACTGAGCTTCAAACATCTGCTTTGCACCTTGTGCTGATGCCCAGTGAGTACTTTGATAGGCACTCTAGCCCCAAAAATGTGATCTTAGTGTAAAGATAGCCTAAAAACCCTCCTGTTGCGTTACATTCTACTGAAATTTCCCAGATCCAGGGAAAACAAGCCACCTGATGGCAGTGGGACACAGGAGTTCCGAATACAGATGGGAGGGTAATGTTTAACATGACACCAGCTTGCCTTGCTTCCTCTCCTCCACCCTACTCCCCCTTTCTAAATCTTGGTGCTTGCATCCCTTTACAAAAGATCATTCAAAGAATCCCAGACTAGTTTGGGTTAAAAGGGACCTTAAGATCGTAAGAATCCCAGACTGGACCTTAAAGCTCCAATCCAGTCCCAACCCCTGCCACGGGCAGGGACACCTTCCACTAGAGCAGGTTGCTCCAAGCCCCTGTGTCCAACCTGGCCTTGAACACTGCCAGGGATGGGGCAGCCACAGCTTCTCCGGGCACCCTGTGCCAGCGCCTCAGCACCCTCACAGGGAAGAGCTTCTGCCCAAGAGCTCATCTCAACCTCCCCTCTGGCAGGTTCAAACCATTGCCCTTGTCCTGTCCCTACAGGCCCTTGTCCAAAGCCCCTCTCCGGGTTTCTTGTTGCCCCTTTAGTTACTCTCTGAGCGGAGGTTACCAAGTCCAGCACAGTATTCCTACCCCAAACCACACCAGATGGATCATCTCCTCAAGGTGAGGGGATGCTTGCCCACAGTGCCCAGCACAGGGCTGCTCCTCACTTACTTTGATGTGCTCATGCAGCTGGGCCTCATGCTGCCGGGAGAGCTGCTCGTGCTGCCGCTGGAACTCAGCTATGAGGATCTGTCTCTGGATCTGCTGTTTCTGCTTGAGTGCCAGGAGCTCCTGCTGCAGCTGCTGTTCCCGCAGCGTCGGCTCTGTCACGGGCATGGAAAACTGGTGGTCCAAGCGCAGATCCATCGGGACTGAAGTCGGTGCAACTTGCAAGGGCAGTGCTGTGGTCACATCAACTACGACATGAGAACAAGAGGAGAGATGAGTGTACTCCCCATTCACACAGGGGTCTAGCTCTCATACTGTGTCCAGTAAAGGCACTGAGGAACCAGGGACTGAATCAAGAACAACACCTTTAAACTCGCACCATCTTTTAAATGGTAAAAAAGCACTATGGGAATTCAGAGTTCAAGAAGTTTTCCTCCAGCCACCACCACCACCTACAGCTATGTGCATTTGGTAACCATAAAGGACTTCAACAGTCCACATGTGACCTTTCTTGATACCATTCTACAGCCGTGCATTCAAAACACACACCTGTGGTTCCGCTCTTTGAGCAACACTTGAAACAACAAAGATTAATCTAAGACTTCATAGAAAGGATCAATCACAGAATCATGGAATGGTTTAGGTTGGAAGGGAGCTTAAAGCTCCTCCAGCTCCAACCCCTGCCACGGGCAGGGACACCTTCCACTAGAACAG